CCAAACAACAATGACAACTACAACCCAAAAATAGCCGGGCATTGTGGTGAGAGCCTGTAGTCCCAGCTACTTGGGAGGCTGAAGCAAGAGAATCGCTTAAGCCTAGGAGTTGGAGGTTGCTGTGAGCTGTGATGCCATGGCATTCTACCCAGGGCCACAGCTTGAGGCTCTGTCTCAAAAAAAAAAAAAATAAATAAATAATAATAATATAAATAAATAAATAAATAAATAAATAAAATAAAGACCCAGGATGGATCAAAGGTGCCTTGATGGCATAACCAGTCCTAGTCCTCAGCCCAAAGGTGGTGAAACCCCAACTCAGAGTCCCTATAGAAGATCAGCCCTAGGGCAGGGAAAGGGAGGGTTTGGCCTTACCCACAGAGACCAGGTGCCCGAATGTTTCCAGCATTACATCATGGTACTCAGTCCTTTGTGTTGGGCCCAACAGCCCCCACTCCTCCCGGGTAAAGTCCACAGCAACATCCTGGAAGGTCACTGGCTCCTGTAAAGTCACATGTGTGTCTGTTCAGGAGGGTTCACAATGTGGGCAGAAGAAAAGCTGGCTGGGATATTCCTACAAAGCACACTGTGCTAGGGACTCTCCTGCTTTGGGGATTTGTTTAGAGATACCTACTTGTGGCTAAAGAGGTCCAATGGGTCCTAAGAACCAAAGTAGGAACCAAAGCTCCTACTTCACAAAGTATATGCAAGCAGCCACAAGTATATGCGAGCTACTTCCCTTTACCCACATCTGTATCTACCCTGCCTTGAGCTGACAACTTCCCAGTGCAGAGCCTTCTCCTTGTATGAATACTACCTCCCCACTTGAGCTAGAGTAGGACAGTCACCCTGGCTGTGCTAAGATTGGTCCTTTTTGGGAAGATGAGGTCACCTCCACTCTGCTTTGCTTGGATGAGAGGCATCTTGCCCACATGGGACACAGCCTGCCTGAGAAGGAATGGGAGAAAGCAGAGCCATGAGACTGGAGATGGTCAGAGATTCTTTCCCTCGCCTAGGAGCAGCTGGATGTAGCCTTGCCTTAAGCCTAATACAGAACACATGAAAGCCAACACATTTACGTCTAGGCTTAGTCAGTATCAGTCACTTGCAAATAACACTGACCAATGCCACATATATACCCTTACACTGATGGTCAGCAAGACAGGACATACCTGTGTTACCCAGACCCTAGCTCTGGCTTATTTAGAAGCAAATCCCAGACATGCATGAACATCTAAGTGTGCATTTCTAAAAGATGACAGCTCTCTTGTTCTAATCAGGATATAAATGTCCACACACCCCTGCCTGAGGCTGTTCTATCTCTCAAGTCTATGGAAACATTGGGGCAGTCCTCTCCCTTGTCTCATGCCTCAACTCCCAGGTCACCATGCCCTGTCTCTAGTGATGCCACTGTGCCTGGAGGGCAGGGATTCCCTTCACATTCAGGTTGCTTCAGAGTCCAGCACAGACCTATGAGCTCAGATTTGGAATGGCTCAACCTGTGGAAAGCCTCAAGTGTGGGCCTGCTTCACAGGGGATGCTGGGACCAGCAGAGGGTGACCTTCCCCACTCACCTCAGGCAGGACCGTCTCTGGCTGGATGGCTGTAGCCTTCTGCTGCTTCTCTTCCTGCTGAGCAGGGACCTTGAGACAGCAGGTGGGGTCCTGAGAAGGCTGGGCAGGTGGTGCTGAGAGGACATCAGTAGGTGTGGTTATCCTCTAGCAGGGCAAGGGCAGCCTATCTCTGCCATCGCAAATCAGCATTCTGCTACACCCTGTGATGTCCCTGGTCCTGCCTTCTCTTCTCCCGGGTTCAGCCCCTCCACTCTCCACCCTCCCAGTCTTCTCAAAGTACTTTGTCCACATCTGTATGGGTACAAGATGCCTGTCTCTGCACAGGCCACAGGGAGCAGTGTTCCTACTGCTCAGATCCCTGGTCCCACTCTTTCCCTCTCTAGGGACTATCTTGGGCCCCAGCCCCAATGACATGGCTGCCTCAAACCTTCTGTGAAGCCAAGCCCCCATTTCTAGCATTGAAGCCCTCCACCCTGCCCATGTGGGCACTCTTTTCTTCATCACTCCTACCACCTCATGGACTTCCCCAGTGCTCAGGACATGCACCAATCTTGACATAAACTTCATCAACTCTCTTCCACCTTAGAAAACAGGCCCACCTGGCCACATGACCCCTCAACCATGGCTCCTTCCTGTGACCTTCTTTACATGGCCCCACACATTTTGCAAGCTTGCATAATACTGGCTCCACTTCCAACATAAAAGGGTACCTGATGCAACCCACCCTGGCCAGTGACTGAATCTGGGATGAACACAGCCCACAACCAAACCATCAGAGCCAACAGGCTTTGCAATGTTTGGGAAAGAGAAATTCCACAATGGGAAGACCCACACAGAGATAGACTACCTGTGGGTGAAGCTAACCAAGGGCAAAAAAGGTGACATGTGAGAGAGAAGATGAGTTCTGAGGACAGTATTGGAGCTCCTAGGTTCAGCTGTGTCTGATGCTAGATCATCCAAGAACTTGAGGGTTTCCTGGAAGACTTCTGTTTTCTGTAATATTAATTGATTTCATCCATCTGTGAGGTTAAACACAGGATGAACTCACTGACTTGGATATCATGAACTTCACAGCTATCTCTTTGGTACCTGTATTTCTTCCTTCCTTCTTTTTTTTTTCTTTTTGAGACAATTTCACTTTGCCAGCCTATGGAGTGTGCCATGGTGTCATAGTTCACAGCAACCTCGAACTCTAGATTGCAAGTGATTCTCTTGTCTCAGCCTCCCAAGTAGCTGAGACTGCAGGCACGCACCACAATGCCCAGCTGCTTTTAGAGATGGGGTCTCGCTCTGGCTCAGGCTGGTCTCGAACTCATGAGCTCAGGCAATCCACCCACCCTGGCCACCCAGACTGCTAGGATTACAGGTGTGAGCCACTGCGCCCGGCCAGTACCTGTATTTAGTTTCTTATTATTGCTGTAACAAACTGTTGCAAACTAGGTGGCTCAAATGAGCAGATTTGTTAGCTCACAGTTCTAGAGATCGTAAGTCTGGTATGGTATGTACCTCACTGGGCTAGTATCAAGGTGTCAGCAGGGCTAGGCTTCTTTTGGAGGCTCTAGGAACCCCTTCCTGGCCTTTTCTGTTTCTAGAGCCTGTCCCAAACATGTATCTTATGACCCTTCCTCATATCACCCCTTTTTCTGTCATTACATTTCTCTGACTCTGATCCTCTGGCCTCCCTCTCTTAAGAACCTTGCAATGACATTAGACCAACCCATATAATCCAACCTATTCTCCCATCTCAAGACCCTTAACCAAATCAATCATATCTCCAAGATCCCTTTGTCCCTGTAAGATAATATATGCACAGGGTGCAGGAATGAGGACACAGACACCTTTGTGACAATTGTTCTGCTGACCATAGCACCCCAAACTCTGCATCTGCCTGCCCCACCATCTCCCACCCCAGCTTCTCCAGGATTACCTGTTCTTAGAATCACATCATTTCCCCTACAGTATTCCTCTTTCTCCTCTTAATCATAAACATCAACCAGTTAATCATTCATCCACTTCAGAAACATCTTCTGGATACCCATTAGCATGGGACATGGAGGTACACAATGCAGAAGCATCCATACTCTATAAAACTCACATGTATGCTCTCTCCCCAGGCATCCACCTCTTGGAAGGATGGGGCAATAGCTCAAAGTAGCCAGTATGCTTCTACTCTCCTTTCTGTTCTCTGTTCATCACCCACTATATTCAGCATGACATAGTTCTTCTTCTTTTTTTTTGGTCCTTTCTTGATATTTCAAAGCAATGTTTTTTTT